CCTCTTGGCTTCTAGGGGCTCACTAAGAAAGGGTTTTTTCAAAATGACCATCAGAGCATTTAGTATTTCCTATATTATTATTATTAACACGCTCTGTAGCCCACTTGACCTTCTAGGCCTTCTCAAAAGCCAATATTAACGCCCATCATATAGAAAAGGTTCTCTTTTCACAAATGGGCACCATATATGAGGCCTTCTGAACATCCTCTGGGACAGAGGCAGGGACATCCCTCACTAAGCTAAACAAAAAACAATCTTCCAATTGTGACTTAGCAATTTCAACATCAAGCCAAAACATCACAGTGTGTGAATTTTTAATCAGCAAACCTTCTCCTCTTTGAGAAGAGAAGCTCTGAAGCTTTCGTAAATATCCCAGAGACACGTTAATCTGTCAAGCTTTTAGACATTACAAGTGGTGAAAAGCATTAAAAAACAATCCTAGCGGAGACTAAAAACTTATCTTTTCTTATCTCAAGCCGAGCAGAACATCAAAACTATCTGCTTTGGACCTTGAGCCCAACTTACAGGAAATCAGTCTTAGGGACAACTTCTCTCAACTTTTGGAGATTTCTCACCCTTTCCTGTCAAGCTGGCTCTTATCTCTGGCATTTCCTATTTTTCTTTGCAGAGCATGCCTTTCATTGGCTAGATTGGTTTATAAAATGCTAAAGCAATGCCAAAGCTTCAACACAGTCATCTCCTTTACTGCTTGAAGAATGGCTTCCAGAGGGAAGCGGTATCTCGGGGAATACAATATGCATTTCTCACGTCTTCAGATCAAATCTACTCATTGATTTTGTGTCAAGGATGAGAGCAAGAATTGTGTGTGCACAGGTGGTATTCAGCCAGTTCTGACCAGTAGAGGAAATTTGGAGTAGTTTGGAGAACCGGCAAATGCCACCTCTGACTGGCCCCGCCAACCCCATCTATTCTCTGCCTCCTCCCGAGTCCCAACTGATCGGTTTTGGGTCTTCTTTGGTTGCCCTGCAAAGGGAGAACGGAGCTGGAAAGCAGGTTGGTGGGGTGGGGAGGGAATGGAGATTTTGCAGTAACCTTCCCCTGCCACGCCCACCAAGCCACGCCCACAGAACCGGTAGTAAAAAAAATGTTGAATCCCACCACTCGTTGTGTAAGAGTTTGATCGATGGGAAGGTAGCTGTGTCCAGTAGGGCCTAGTGAAAAGAGGAATGGTCAATCTTTGGGTTGTCAGGGATTTCAGACCAAAGTGAGGGGCAGGTCAGAGGTCAGCTGTTAGTGGTCTGTCATTTCATGCTGGCTCCACCAGGGGGTTACGACTCAACCGATGTTACGACCGGTTCGGTCAGAATGCGTTTTTTGCTGCGCGCGCATGTAAAATAATTGCAAAAAACATCAGCTGTGCTGCCCGGACAGCTGACAAGCGCTGTGCAGTGTTAGAAACTCCTCTTCTTTCCTGCTTTTTCAAACTCAGCTGTGCCATGCAAAGCAACTGAGGTTGAAAAAGCAGGAAATAAAGGACCGCCAAGAGCCCGGGCAGATGGGTGAGCCAAACAAGACGACCAAAAAGGTGGTCGCACCGAACTGGTTTGGTGTCTGCTGCTCTTCAGAGCTACCGGTTCTATAGAACCGGGCCGAACCGGTAGCATCCCACCCCTTGGCTCCACTTAGGGAACCCTGAGAATTGAAGTCCACCCATCTTAACGTTCACAAGATGAAGAAGCAATGGTTTTTTGGGGGTGGAACAAGAGTCTCCAAGCTTGGCAACTTTTAAGACTTGTGGACTTCAATTCCCAGCATTCCTGGCTGGGGAATTCTGGGAATTGAAGTCCACACGTCTTAAAAGTTGCCAAGCTTGGAGACTCCTCGTGTAGAACATACCGTTGGATACTGGGCAAAAGAAACAACGACATGGAATACAATTAGTTGGTGCTTCCTTAGGTTTGCCTTGAATTAAAAAGCCGTGAAGGTTAAAGGGGCCCAAGTCTAAAATCCTGATGGAAAATACCTTCTTTCGTGGAAGGAAATGAGGAGCTCTCAATGGTCCGTAGAAGTGGTTCAAGCTAGGACAGTGGTGGCTAACCTTTTTGGACTCCTGTGCCAAAAATGGCGCGTGCACTTGTGTGCCGCGCGCTCGCATGCCAGTACCCAGAAGGCACTGTGCGTGGCCCTCCATGCCCCCTGCGCATGCATGCGCGATTCCCGCCCCCTTACTTGCACTACGCCTCCCAACTGATTTTCAGCCCGTTTGAGGCCTTTTTTGGCTTGCCAGAGACTTGAGGGAAGCCTCTGCAGGCCGAAAAATGGGCCCGTTTCATCACTTCCAGTACCTCCAGAAATGCAGGAAGTGATGAAATGGGCCTATTTTTCAACCTGCAAAGCCTGCAGAGGCTTCCCTCAAGCCTCTGGCAGGCCAAAAAAGGCCTGGAAATCAGCTGGGAGGCGCGTGCATGCGCAGTGAGGTAAGTTTGCTTGAGGCTCACGTGCCCACACAAATGGCTCTGCGTGCCACTGCTGCCATAGGTTCGCCATCACGGACCTAGGAGGCCTCCTGCTAACCTGTTGTCTTTTTTTATTCTTTCTTTCTCTTCCCTCCGTCTTGTCGTTCAGGGACACCCATCAATCGCATCCCGATCATGGCCAAGCAGATCCTCGACCTCTATATGCTCTACAAGCTGGTGACTGAGAAAGGAGGCTTGGTGGAGATCATCAACAAGAAGATCTGGAGGGAGATCACCAAAGGCCTTAACCTCCCCACCTCCATCACCAGTGCAGCATTCACACTTCGCACCCAGTAGGTCCTGGCAGGGCCGGGGATGATGGGCATTACAGGAAGACGAGTCAGATGCCTTCGGTCCCTTGGTGTCTGGGAGTTGAAGTTCACGAGTCTTAAAGTTGCCACACCACTGCCCTAAAGTTTTTCTGTACTGCTTGCTTCAATGTAGCATCTGACCTGATTGTCTTCAGCCCAGGATATTAAAAGCTCTAGAGCAGGGGTGTCATGCCCCTGTCGGAGTCTGATTCCGAGGGGGAGGCCGAGCAGCTGACAGGGAGTGGGAGTGTGGCTCCATTGGCTGTAGAGGAAACTGGAGAAGGGCATAGTCCAGCTGGGCAGAGCAGGGGAGAGGTAGAGCAAGGCAGAGAGAATTCAGAGGAAGACCCAGGCCCAACCTCTCTTCATCCTAGGGCACGCAGGGAGGAACGGAGAAGGGAGCAACGTGAGTTGCGTGGCTTACGGGGAAGGAAACGGCCCTGATTCCCTTTATTAGCTGCAGCTGGGAACACAGTGTTTAAAAAGGGAAGCTGCGCGCAGCGAGTTGTTGGGAGCAAACATGACTTTATCTGGTATCGTCCTGGTGTATCAGAACTTGGGAGCCCGTTTTTGCTGGCAGAGCGCTCGGGCCAATCCTTCACTGTTTTCAGAGCGGTCCCATGGGCCAGATCTAAGTATCCCATGGGCCAGATCTGGCCCACGGGTCTTGAGTTTGACACCTGCTCTAAAGAATAGGTGAGTTCACCCCATCTTGGCTGTGTCTCTCGAACGTGGCAACCTTAAGACGGGTGGACTTCAACTCCCAGAATTCCCCAGGCAGCATGGGGAGAAACACTGCATCTTGGTAAGCCTAAGGTTGCCGTGCAGGACCAGAAGGCCTTCCCAGCATTCCTGAGTGACAGGAATTTCCTTCGGAAATAGGTAGATCTGCTATGCTTTTGTGTTGTTGAAGGTCTCTATTGTAGCAACCCTCTCCTGCAAATGAGGCTTCAGCCCTCAACCCATCATGCCAAAAATTGGCCTACATCTTTGGCCAACTGAAGTTGCTCACTTCCACGCTACGCAATCCTGTTTTTTTGTCTGTGGCCACATAACAGGGGGAAGAAACCCAGCAGTTGGGTTTGTGGATCATGGCTTATTTCTTAGGCCAGTCCTCATTCTACAGTGGCTTATTATCAGGTGTGAAGAATCAGATTGAATCAGGAAGTTGTTTCGGCCAAGCTAATGTATCGCTCGTGCTATACCCAAAAATCTATAGTCAATCAAATTGACATCAGATAAGAGCTGATTGAAATCAAGAGGGATTAAATTTAGACCATTTGCCACAACGTAATGATTCCAGGTTGATTCCTCTCTTGACTCCCCCACCCCCAGGCTCTGCCTCTCCTTGTCCTGCACCTAGCAAGATGCGTTGCCCCTTCGTCTCCTTCTCTTGCACTCCTGACCCAGCTGAGCCTCTTCTCTTCCTCTCCCCAGGTATATGAAGTACCTCTATGCCTACGAATGTGAGAAGAAGTCCTTAAGCTCGCCGGCTGAGCTGCAGGCCGCCATCGACGGCAACCGGCGGGAAGGCCGGCGGCCCAGTTACAGCTCCCCCTTGTTCAGCTTCTCCCCCGCGACCCCGGGACCGCCTACGCTCCTTTGTCCCCCCAAGATCCGCTTCCCCCTTGTTAGCCTTACCCCCAGCAGCACAACTAGCAACCCACACCTGTCTTCAGCAGGCCCTCTCAGGAAAGGTCAGCCAGATAAGAGTTATTATAACTATTATTGTTGTTATTGTCATTATTGTCACTTTTGCTGTTGTTATTATCTCTTTTATTCATTAAACATGAAATTCAGTCAACTGAACGTTTAAAAATATATCACAAATTATTATTCTCTTTTATTCATTAAACATGAAATTCAGTCAACTGAATGTTTAAAAATGTATCACAAATTATTATTAT